CGGCGTTTTAACGTTGATTGGATCAACAGCTCAGAGGAGGCGTCTGATCATTTGATTTGTATTATTTGTATTTGTTATTTATTTTAATTTTAGTTAAATTATGTCTGAATTTATTCGCCAAAGTTTTGCGCAAATCTGTAATGGAAACGCGCCTAGTGTCGTTCGCAATGGCGCATCACACAGTGAGTAAACAAACAAACAAACAAACACACGATAAAACTCGAGATGTTCATTCCTGCTGAACTCTGAAACGCTGTTATTGACGAGTGTGTTTCTGTGAAGCTGTGTTGTATAAAGCACGGTAGAGAATAAATGAGATGTGTTTAGCTTTTAAAAGCCTTTTTATATCGTGTAAATGTGTCTGAATCTGCTCGAACTTCGCTTTTCTTCGTGATGTCTGAATGTCTGAATCAGTTTGTATGACGTCTCAGGTTCACACAGGTGTAGAGAATCACATTAACTAGCAGAGCAACCACTAACTAACTAACCAACTAACACAAACTGACGTCTTCATCTTCAACAAAATATTATTACATTTTTTTTCTAACATTCGTGACACTTGGTATATTGTAATCTAATGAAATGACCTTCCGACTCTTTTAAGTGTGATTTAGTGTTCTCTCGTGAGCATCATGTCATGAACAGCAGGTTAAAGAGGAGAGTAAACTCTTCTGGACAGGTGTCCGAGGCGAGGCGAGAGCAGTTCAGGAGGTATCTGGAGAAGGCCTCACCAACGGTAAGAACACCAGATCAATCCACCGAACATCTGCTCTTCTGTGTGGCTGACTTCATCTTCTGCTTCTCAGTCCTGGTGGCTCTGTACGAGGACACCGAGAAACCCAACAATGCCTCGGAGTATCCTCACACTGCTGCTCTGGAGGAGTCTGCTGCTCACACAGAACCAAAGCCAGTTTACTTCTGTCTGTTTCAGGAGAAGTGTAGAGAAACCTCGCGCTCGTCCGTATGATGGCAGGGAATAGAGACCGGTGTGAAGCTTTTATAAAGAGATGCAGAAGTATCACGCAATGATCGCGTGTGTTCTGGGGGAATACGGTAGGGCTCGGTGAAATGACATGAATATTTTTTTTAAAGTAAAATCCTGCCCTTGCTTCATGAAACTCTTATTAGCACAGCAGTTCATCCGGCTGGCCCGACAAAGCACGCAAGTTGCGTGAAATCAAGTTGAAAAACAACACAATAGAATTCATCTACTTTCTTCTCTGAGGTTGATCAAGATGCTGAAACATGTTTTTAATTAAGTTTGGACAGAGAGTGAATCCCACTCTGAAACTGGTTTAATGTGTATATAGGCCAGTGTGTTCATTTAATGTTTGATTTGTATATTTGACCTCGATGTTTGATGTCTTTTTAGCATGTATTGCCCACTGGGTTATTTGTCACAAGTTATTGTCATTCTGAGTCCTGCTCCAGAGATGTTCATCTTAGTGAAGTGGTTTCTAGGCTATAGCCGAGTTTCCATCCTAAGATGCAAATTTAACTTTTGCGCAAAATTGGAATATCGCATAAAACATTTGCGAATAAGCACCATTTCAATCCAACGAGTCAGAGAGAACAAAATCGTCACTTCCTGATAAACTGCCACTAAATATCACTAAGAAAGTAGGAGAAGCCACTGAATATAATAATTTTCATATATAATAAATGACTTGCGCCTCAGAGCGAGCAGACGAAACACAATAAATGCGGTCATTGCTTTCAGATGCTGCTGTTTGGGAACGCAGTCGTGTAAGAGAGAACAGAACACAGAAACACTTTGACGACAGACTTTGCTCAGGCGTTTCAGAAGGATCATAACATTTCAGATGCTTTGGATCAAGATCGGTTCGCTGGTTAGTCAGGTTATGCCGTCCCATAGCGCACAGTCACATCACTTGAACGCTCGTGCAGAATTTATTCATAAAATGTGTTTCCATCTCCTATTATTCACATTAACCCTTTTTCGCACAAGTCAAAAACCACCTCAGGCGAGCGTAAAAACCTTTTTGTGAATTAAGGGATTTCTTTTCTAAATCTGGTTTAGTGCTTCTCAAACCTGTCCTGGGCTCAAACACAGCATGTTTTATGTCTCCTTGTTTAACACACCTGATTAAACTCATCAGCTCGTTAGTACAGACGTGACCTGGCTGTGTTAAATGTGCGGTGCTTTGGGAGAAGCACTGATTTACAGAAACCAACGGCAGGATATTTGTTAAATAATGCATTACATTTCAGTTTGTTTTTCACCAAATCCTGTCACACACAGCAGAACGCTGGGAATATACGACTCGTGTCACATCAGCTCATTCTGTGACACTGCTGCATCTTTACCTAACTTTATGCTGATGGCATGCATTGGCATTACATTGACGTTTCTTTACATTTCTGCTTTGTGGTCTGAAAAAGAAAGAAGGACAGTAAATGATGACTGGATTTTCATGTTTGGGTTACCTAACCCTTGAAGGCCCGGTTTCACAGAAGTGGCTTTGTTTAAGCCAGGACTAGGCCTTAGTTAAATATTATTAAGCAGATTTTATGAAAATGCCTTAGATGAAAAGTTACAGGTGTGCATCGTGAGACAGAACAATGGCACTGATGTGTCTGTGAAAGCAGGGGAAAGTGTGGTCATATTACCACTGCTGGGCCAAAACACTGTAGGAATTCACGTGATGTAAAGATTTGACACGGGTTCACTGCGCTGACCGACAGGTGATTTCTGCACTATTGATGATCGACAGTCGACTCTTTGTTCACTAGTGAAACTGCACTTCTAGACCTCAAGTTGCAGAGGCCATGAAACACGATCATGTTTGATGCAAAACAAAACTAGATCTCTCTTACTCTGCAGCACAAAAAATATTTGTAGCAATAGCCAACAATACATTGTATGGGTCAAAATTATAGATTTTTCTTTTATGCCAAAAATCATTAGGATATTAAGTAAAGATCATGTTCCATGAAGATATTTAGTAAATTTCCTACCGTAAATATATCAAAACTTAATTTTTGATTAGTAATATGCATTGCTAAGAACTTCATTTGAACAACTTTAAAGATGATTTTCTCAATATTTAGATTTTTTTGCACCCTCAGATTCCAGATGATGTATAAATCTCACTGTGAGTAATTGTGGTCATTTACACGGTTCGCTCAGTGGAAGATCTCAGCTCTGGCACCATTTCAGCGTCACGGCATGTTAACCTAACCTTCACTAACCCAGGTTAAGCAGCCTTAACTAAGCCACCCGTCAGCTTCATCAAGCATCAGCTGGGCGTTGGAACCGAGGCAGAAGATGCCGAGAGTCTGCGGCTGAAGCTGAACACTTTACAGCAGAAATATGATCAGCTGATGGAGGAGAACAAAGAGCTGAGGAGCCGGGTGAGGTATTACCCACACACACTACTACAGCGCTTCACTCGGACTCGTATAAACCGTGCTGTGATCACATGCGGGTTGTGTTTGTGTGAATTACAGCTGCTGCAGGGTGGGCAATAAAGCTCATTCTGATTCTGATTCTGATTCTGATAGTATGTATTTGGTGCTCTGACTGTATGCTATATGCATTGGTGATTGATCTTACTGATCATCTCACAGCTGTCAGGGTATATATATATATATATATATATATCATTAAAACATCACATCATAAAGAGCTTTTAATTCTATAGATAAATAAAAATGTGATTTCTTTACCAGCAGAGGCCACTATACACATCAATATAGACACTAAGATATGTCTGTCAATTACAGATGGGTTCATCTATAAACATCTATGAATATGAAACCCATTAACATGCAGCCACGACTCATTCTAAACATTGAATATTTAGACCGTCCAGGCTGAAAATAAAGCTTCAAGTCTTGTGTTCAGAGATAGTTCAGCCAAAAAGATCATTCTGTCATCTTTAACATGTCATTCCAAACCTGTATGACTGACTGACTTCTGCTGAATACAATACTATGTGCTATGAGAACATTACAGGCTTGTAGTGATGCAGCCACGACAGTGTAAACTGCATCACGAGGTAAATTGGAAAACAATAGTCAATTCAGCATCATAGCAATTTAACTTGCAGTTACTAACACTGTACAAACAGCCTGTTGTTCTGGCAGAAATGTATTTATTATAAGTGTTACTGTTATTACTTATATTATTGGAATATTGGGGAATACTTTACTTTTATATAAAATGTTTTTGTAGTTTCAAGTTTTTTTTTATTTTTTTAAATAAATTTCATAGTTTATTATTACTTATTGTTTAGTTTAAAATCCATATAGGATAACCATGTTAATGAGGACGATGCTTTTACTTCTTGTGACCACCATCTTACTAATACTAATTCTAAGCAAGAACTTCTTTCTCTTTAGATGTTTATTGTAATTCACTTTAAATTAAGTAAAATGTTAATTCAGTAAGAGCATGATTAAATATAAATAGCAGTGTCTTATATAAATTAGATGTTTACTATTTACAAATATTAAAGATCTTAAAGGGATAGTTCACCCAAACATTTAAATTGTCATCATTTACTCACCATCATGTCATTCCAAACCTGTAAGAATTTCTTTCTTCTGTGGAACATGAAAGAAGATAATTTGAGAAATTCAAGAAATTTGTGTCCATACAGTAGAAATCAAGGGTAACCAAAATGGTTTGGTAACATTATACAAAATATCTTTTGTGTTCCACAGAAGAAAGTAAGTCATGCAGGTCTGGAATCACACGAGGCGGAGGAAATGATGACAGAATTTATCAGCAATACATTTCCTGCATTCTAGCTCAAAGTCAATGCTTTACTGTCAGGTGCATTTCTATGTGACAAAACTGCATTATTAAGTTTGTTGCATTTGCTGTGAATTCAGTAATATCTATCATTGTCCTGTTTTATTTATTTATTTACTCCAAATGAAGCCCATATAACCCAGCAAAACATTCACGGGGGAACTCGTGGGCTGCATTTGTCCAGGGCTGAATTTAACCCCAGCCCAGCCCGTCATGGAACGTCATGAGGGCGAGTAAATTATGACAGAATGGTCATTTTTGGCTGAGCCATCCCTTTGATCCAAACTGATTCCTGTGAGAGAGGCACACAGAGCCTCAGATCTGCAGGTCGCTGGCGGCTCGTCTGCTGCCGCTCGTTAGTGAAGCTCGTTGTCTGTTGGGTGAGTCGTGGGATTCCCTGCGGATCCGTGCTGCCGTGAGCCGGAGCTGGGCTTGGAGTCTGCGCTGTCCGAGCCGTTCCCTTCCGCCGCCGTGCCGCCGTTCCAGGCCGGACTGTTTCGCTGCTGCTTGCGCGGATCCGTTAGAGAGCACTGGGACTCCACCGGGAGCCGAGTCTGCGCTGCTGGGGATTGAGTCTCGCTGCAGGGGTTGTTGGAATTGCTGTTGCGCTGCAGCAGACTGGAAACGATGTCCTTGTTCTCCTGTCGCACCTGGATGGGCACGAACGCAGACGAGGGGTTAACGAGCGCGGGGTACGCGGGTCCGTTGCCCTGTTTCTCCAGGAGCGGAGCGAATCCACCGGCCGCCATTGGGACAGTGGCTTTACGCCCCTGATGCAGCAGCGAGTTCCTCTCGGCGCCACAATCGTCGTCTCTCAGCGGCGGACAGTAGTCCAGAAGCCCCTTCCTCAGCTTCTTGTAGGCCAGGTGCAGGATCTCCAGCAGGCTCAGGAGCAGCGAGGCGGCGGAGATGCCCTGCATGAACACCATGAAGACGCTCTTCTCCGTCGGCCTCGAGACGAAGCAGTCCACCACGTTGGGACACGGCTCCCGCTCGCACTTGTACAGAGGCTGGAGCTTGGGCCCGTACAGCAGGTACTGGCCTGTCATGAAGCCCACCTCCACCACGGAGCGGGTCACCACATGCGCCAGGTATGTGCGCAGCAGCGGGCCCCGGAGCGGAGCCTTGTTGAGCTTCCCCTGCTCCAGCTGCCGCAGCTCCCGCTCCACCCGCCGCCGAGCCTCCGCCAGCTCTGCCTCCATCGTCTCCAGCTCGCGCCGGAGAGCCACACGCTTGCAGTGACGCTCCTTCTCCAGGGCGCGCAGCTGGTAGATGGCGTGGCCCATGTAGACCAGTGAGGGCGAGGACACGAAGATGACCTGCAGGACCCAGTAGCGGATCAGGGAGACGGGGAAGGCGCGGTCGTAGCAGACGTTGCGGCAGCCGGGCTGCTCCGTGTTACAGATGAAGTCGGACTGCTCGTCGTTCCACACGTCCTCGGCCGCCACACCCAGCACCAGCATGCGGAAGATGAAGAGGATGGTGAGCCAGATCTTCCCCACCATAGTGGAGTGGATGTGAACCTCTTCCAGAATCCCTCCCAGAAAGTTCCAGTCGCCCATCCTCACACGGACATCACTGCTGCGGATGAGACGACAACTCAACCCATACACTTCTCACAAATCTCACACACCAGAAATACTAAATGTGACCACAAAACCAGTCATAAGGGTAATTTTAAAAAAAAGCTGAATAAATTAGCTTTCCATTGATGTATGGTTTGTTAGGATAGGACCATATTTGGCTGAGATACAACTGTTTGAAAATCTGGAATCTGAAGGTGAAAAAAAATCATCTTTAAAGTTGTTCAAATTAAGTTCTTAGCAATGCATATTACTAATCAAAAATTAAGTTTTGATATATTTACGGTAGGAAATTTACAAAATATCTTCATGGAACATGATCTTTACTTAATATCCTAATGATTTTTGGCATAAAAGAAAAATTTATAATTTTGACCCATACAATGTATTGTTGGCTATTGCTACAAATATACCCCAGCGACTAAACACTGCTTTTGTGCTGCAGGGTCACAAATAACTCAACACTCACCATTTGAGAAAGTTGCTCCTCTAAAAGATATAAAATCGCCGAACGAGGAAAAACTGTTAATCGTGTTGACGGCATGATCAAAACGCATCTAACAATGATCTGAAAGAGGCGGCTGTGTTTTTCATTCGACTGGACGCTGTGGTTTGAGAAATCTAGGTTGCTGCTAACTTTATATCGTGGCAAAAGTAATCAATGCGATGTGTTGCTGTGCTTCTGTAAAGGCCTGCGGGTCAACTGGACGAGGAGGAGATGGTCCTGATGTAGCGTGACACTGCACTGATGCAATCACGTAACTCAGAGCAGTTATGCCCCCGGTTTCACACACAAGGCTTAAACCTAGTCCCAGATTAAAATGTAAATCTGAGCTGTTTCAACTGAAAGAAACTTGAACGGATTGATCTTAAAATATATCAGTACTTTTGTTTTGTCTCAAGATGGACACCAGTAATGTTTTTTTTCTAAGGCACGTTTATAAAAATTACTTAAATGTCCTAATTGAACTTTGGCCTAATCCTGGCTCAGACTAAGCCCTGTCGGTGAAACCAGGCCTAGGTTTATTAATGACGTTGGGCTGTTGACTGAAGAGACTCGGGTTCTGCTGTTCCTCAAGCATGTGAGTGACCAACAGCGCTGTGAGTAACTAGCTCTCTGTCTGTCGATGCTTATCATAATTAACGATCAATCGGTCATGTCCGAATTCATACATGAACTGCTCTCAGAATCCAATCAAGGTTTTCCCTCAAGCCGGTGTTTTTAAACCTGTCATTGACCTATCGATGGCCAGAGAGCGCAGGGGTGGTGCTTCGGCATCTCTCGACCAATCAGGAGTCCCGTGAGGCAGTGGATTGTGGGATGGATTTCGAGCAGGTTCATTGATTTGGCAGCGGCTGCTCTCTTACACGCTAACGATGATGATCATCTAATGCTGAAGGGTCACAGGGTCAGGGCTAGATTTATTTGACACGTGTCATCAAAGAGCACTCGTGTAGAAAACACCTCAAAGCACAGGACAGAATGAAGCGTCTGTGGCAGGTTGGCCTTTCATGACAACATAAATAAGCAAGACTATAATCCCCATCATGTCCTTCCAAACCTGTAGAAGCCTTTCTTCCATACAACACAAAATATTATATTTTGACTTTCATATGTTGTATACAATTGTATATAGTACATGGTATGATTATTTTTTTTAAGGGAAAAACAAACATTTTTCAAAAAATCTTTTGTGCGACACTCTTAAAAATCTGTGGCATCAATTTCCAACTACTTAAAGTTCTTTATAATGGGGAAAGGTTCTTTGGATTTATTAATATATTCTTCACACCAAGACAAAAAGTGGTTGTTCTATGAACTGACCAATGAAAGATTCTTTAGGAACTAAAGCCGTTTCTTCTGTGGCCTCACTGTGAAAAACCCTCTTCTGGAAACTTTAGTTTAAAGAGTGAACAGATTTGGAAAAACATGAGGGTGAGTAAATGGCAATATTAGGGTGAACTCATTTTAAGTTTTGGAAACACAATCAGAAGGCTAAAGTCACAACATGCGCAACAAGATTCCTTTGTAATTATTACTCCAAACCAAAACCACAAGCACACATTGTGCCAAATCAGCATCATATACTTCAAAATGATTAGGAATCCAGATCGGAGGATAAACTGGAAAATTAACACGACAACATACTGATGCACAAGAAATTTATTTCATTCCATGTAAAAGGCCTGCAGATTTCACAATAAAACACATCCGAGACACTCACGGAAGACCGTTTTAAATGGATGGCCATTACTGATCAACTAAAACAAAAATCTCTTACAAAAATATTGAGGTGATTTTCATCTCATTCTGCGCAGCTGCGCTTGTAAACTAAACCACACAGACATCATCAATGCTAACACTGCAGCCGTTAGCAGATGTGTGTGCTAAAACAGGCGATGCTTTGATTGCCTCCTTATTAAAAGAAACAGACAGACGGGCTGTCACTCGCAGACATTCACGCAAACGACAAAACCTAAACAGGTTTGCATGGACTCTAATGCCCCCAGGACTTGCGTCCGTCCCAGGAGCGGGATCTGGAGCGGGATCTGGAGCGAGACGGGGAGCGCGTCTGCGTCTTCTCCTCAGTGGCGTCCGGACTCTCTGTGTGGAGCTGGCTGGTTTCCCGCGGGCTGCTGGACTTGGACCTGGAGCGCGACTGAGCTCCGCCTCTTCTCTTGGAGTGGGCGGGGCTTCGGCTACGGTCACGCGCAGACGGCCTGGGCCTGCGGGAGTCACATGACCGTTCAGACGAGTTAGAATAGAGTCACATCACAGACACACAAAGTGCATTAAGAGTTACATTTAAGAGTTACACAAGGGTCCTGCACTCTTTCCCCGCCAAAAACGGAACGTTCTCGCTGTTGTACGCTAGGGGGCGCTATTACACATCTCCTGAATGAGTCTAGAATCACTCGATCAAAAACACAGATGAGGAAGACGCAGAAACCAGCGATCTCGGATGTATGCATATGCATATGAAAAATAATGCGATCATCAACACTAAACCGCATATAAATGAAAACCGCCTAATGTTCCCGAGTGAAATGTGGATCCTGGAAGTGGTAAAGGCCTGTGAAGCTTTGGGAGTGCTGATGCAAGCCATCTACTGCATCTTTGCTTTGATAATATTACTGAATATGATCCAGATAGTGTTTGATAAAAATACGATTTTCTCAGCTTTTTGCTCAAAATGTTGCTTTTTTATGAAACCTACCTACATTCAAGTGTTGATAAAAACAATGCTTGAAGCTAGAATAAAACAGATTTTTGTTTAAAAGTAGAGGGTCTGATCTTTATTTTGGTGTACTGCATGTTCAGATATTCATACAACAAAATATTCTGGGGGCCATGAAATTTTAGTGAAAATCAGCAAAAACTTTTTTTCAAAAAACGCTGGCAGAGAAAGAGTTAAAGGACAAAAAAGCAAAGTGATAAAAATGCTTATAAAATATAAATATAAAAATGCTTTCACTGATAGTTTTTTTTTAAACCAACTTCATCCTGATCATAACTACCACAAATGTTTGCATTTTCAGGATTTCTATGTGGAAGATTCAACTTTTGGTGATTTTTCTGAAATAGTTCAAAATGTTCTGTAACAGTGAAGCAAGAAATAGGAAGCATAGAAAACAACTTTCACTTTCTTTTTTAGAAAACAGAATTAGTTATTACATGAATTGAGTGATCGAGTGCCAGTCACATTAAAGCGATCGTTCGTTTACTCGCCCTCGTGTTGTTCAAACCTGTATGAGTTTCTTTCTTCTGTTCAACACAAAAGAAGAGATTTGAAACGATGTTGGTAAGAGTTTCTGATCCCCATTGACTTACTATAGCAGCCAAACACATTCTTCTAATGATCTTCTTTTGTGTTCAACAGGAGAAACAAACGTACACAGGTTTGAACAATATGAGGGCGAGTAAATAATTCTCATTTTTGGGTGAACTATCGCTTTAACAAAGCTTATTAGTGATTCGTTACAACAAACAGGCTTTCCTAATCTAATCAACATTTACACAGTCTAAGAGCTCATTTTATTTTAGGGCTGTGCCATCAATCACAATTGTGATAAAATCATGACGTGAACCTGAGTGATTTCTCCTTATGCATTCAGAAAGCATATTCATACATATTTGATTACAGTGACGTTATTTATGAAGATGACGATTATTATGATGAAGTTCGTGACGATGCATATTAGTGTTGTGCTGATAGACGACAGGATCTGTTGCTGAAGACTTTGACGATATCAAGACAATCATTATTATTATCAGGCTAGTATTATTATCTAATTAATATTAGGGCTTATTTGCTCCATATTTATTTTCCGTGTTTTTACAGCGTTATAACCAATCGCACACGATCCATTGAGTTTCTGAACGCAGTGGCATATAATAGTTTTGTTGTTCAGTGCGAGCGCTCGCTGACTGAATTCAGCTCTCTCGCGAATTCTCTCAACAAAATCAACAAAGTATTATAATTAGTAACTTACAATTAATATTAAATTATGTTGAACACAAATTCAGTCATATTAAAAATATTTGATGACATCCATATGCTACTTGACTAAAAATATTTTTTAATAAGTAGTTAATAGATTACACCAACATTAGGCTGCTTTTAGCCTCACTCTCTGGCGATGAAACTAAGTAAATAAATAAATAAGCACAATAATAACGTGTATCGGCGGGCTGGCGATCGGATGATATGACTATGGAGCATATCGCCCAACACTAATGCGTATCGTGAAAAGCACAGTACGAGTGAACGTGAATTATGATGAGAGAAATGTCTGAAAAAATTGGTTTTCCCTGGTTGTTGTTTTTGGAGCTTAAGCCCCATTAAGAGTTTCAAATGCACACCAAACTAAACGAGCTCAAAAAAGCATAAAGAAGTAACTGACACAGTCACGTATTGTTCATGGAAAGATTTCGGCAATAAAGCCACAGCTGCTTCAGACATGCGGTCCAGCACTAAAGCTGCTCTCCTGCTTTGAAACCCGGTGGATTGAGAAGTGCTATACCAGTCGGGGATAATGCATGGCTGCCTGTGCTTTAAACGATTTTAATGCACGACGTGGAGGCCAAGAACTTTGTGGTTTCCTCCGTGAAGTGCATTAAAATCGTTTAAAGCACAGCTAGCCGTACATTATCCCGCTTATACAAGTTTACAAGTTAAAGCTGTTAATGATGTTTCGCAGCGCAATATTTGACTGGAAGGGTAAAAATGAAAATTTTCGTCAGTTACGACTCGTTAGCACTAGCATTCTGCCCGCTTAAAATCAGAAATAGTGCGGTAAGGTCACATTTATTTGAATGAATTATAGCATTTATTTGAATAACCGATTATTAACAGTTAACCGACAAGATTAATTTAAATTAGAATTGAATTAAATTATAAAGGATAAGTGTCTGTGACCCGTTAAAAATACCAAAATTTGTTTTCCAGGGATTAATTTTACGTGCGCAAAAAGCAGCAAACAACAGAACACAATTCACATGGTCACATCACGCACCTGCAGCACTTCTGCGAGCGGAGAAAAACATAATAAAGCTAGATAACCTAGCCTATATATAATGAATAAATAGGCCTATACGAGAAATATATTT